GCCCAACTTAGAGATGTTGCATCACCTTTGGCCTCCTTGTGCTCTTCGTCAGATGAGGAAGCTCTACAAGACAAAGAGCTACGGTAAGACCTATGGCACTAGTGTGGTACTAACGAAGGCTTTCTGATGCTTAAGGAAGTCTTCTTATAGTTACCTCATTTTGGGGACTTGCGCCCCTTTTATAGATCAAATTACAGTTTATTATTCAATTTCGTTGGTTTTTATATATTGTTGATATATAATCATTTTATAAGTCACTGATTGTTGCTTTTCCAACACTTTCCTCCTCTTCAAGGGGGGAGGGGAGTGAAAATGATATGTTTATTGACGTATCCCCATTACTTTGACGTATTCCCATGAAGTTATTTCCTATTTCTTGACTCTAATGACCCCTTCTCTTCAAGGGGAGAGGAGAAGTGAAAAGATGTTGTGTCTGCGTGAATTAGCTAAAGTTGATGTGGAAGAATTTATTGTTGTCGTTTTCTGTTGTTGTTGTCATTGCCGTTGTTACTATTGTCTACCTTGCTGCCATCGCGGTTGTTGTCATCCCGCCATCCATCACTATGCTAAATGTTGATGCCTTTATTTCTTCACCTGCTTCTAATTCTACTTCACTTGCTGCTTCTCATACCCCTATTGTGATGGTTCATACTTAATCGTCCACCAACCTACTCTTGGGATTCAAATTGAATGGACCCTTCTGTCGTGTGTGTGTGAGGGACTGGGGGTAGGGTTTCTCTTATTACTGGCCTCTTTTGTTTATATAATTTTAGGTTTTTAAACATTAAATTTTAATTGTAAAAAAATTATAATTTTAATTAGCTTATTGAAATTAAAATTTAATTTGTATGAGCTTAAGAAATGCATTTAAATTTAAAATAAATAAAATAAAATAAAATAAAAACTTTTTATATTTGAAGTTTTTTTTTTTAATATCAAAAGGAGAAATTCCGTTAGCAACTGCAACAAACGTACAACTAATTTAATCAACCGGGGAATGAGCTACATAGTGACCTCATTAAAACATTGTCATAAATACCCCCAAATGAGGAAAATCCCTTTTTTTTTAAAAGAGTACCACAGCTCCTTTTGAAAACAAAAAAACCTTCAAATCTCAACCTCATCCAATTCCAAGGTATGCTCCAACCAAGGTGGTGCAACATCTGTCCACACAAGTTCTTTACTTAATAATCTGTATTTATTTTGGAAAAAAATAATTTAAATGTATAAAAAAAATTATTCTAAGATGCATACTTGTTCAATTTACTATCAATTAACCAACAAAATTCAACTCTTTTATTTATCATCTTGACTTATTTTTAAAGATAATTATAGGTTTTTTTACATTAGAATTTTATTTATGTTGTAACCTCAAAGGTTATGGATGCCCACCATAAGTCCATTGTATTTCCTCCATTATACCCATCATTATACCTATCATTATATAGTTGTAACATATACACTAAATACCATATTTATCATTGGTTATTATGTTTTGTAACCCACTACTTAAGGGTGGTAAATGGTGATGTATTTCCTATGCCTATAAATAGTAGGCACTAAAGATGAATAAGTGACTTGAGCATTGAGCTATTAAGAGCTACTCTTATTTTTCATATACTTTCTCTATTCAGTTTTATAACACGTTATCAGCACGAATTCTCTTTCAAAATCCAGTTGAGTGCCTCGATCAAATCGCTCTGCTTTACTCATCCTCTACTTGAGGTTTTCTGGGCAATTGTGTTTTCATGATTTCCTTATGTGTAAATACAAACTCCCTTTGGTAGCATACTATGTTTACAGAAAACAAATCAACCAGAGAAGAAAATTGAAAATCATTCTAAGAGACACAAATCCAAAACAAGGACCGGTCTTCACCAAAAGAAACCAACTGAGGTGTTAAGCTTCTTGGTGTTTAGAGTGGGATATGAACACCCACGAAACAAAGAGATAAGCCCCTTCTGACTTTCACTTTATCTTCTTCAATTTATTATTATATTATCACCATCATATCTATATTCATGCTAAGATCTAAAGCAAGTATAGATGTGCTGGAACTTGTTCTTGTGTGGCAGGTGCAAAAGTAGGAGCATATGGTCAATCCTCCACAAGTAGACCATTTTAATATATTAATTGTGGTTTTGGTCGGTTTCACTTTCACATGGCTCCATTTTATATTGGTACATATAATATTAATATGGAAAGTTGATGGTAATACAATATGATATATATATATGCTATATACCTATATATATATATATATGTATAAGTAAATAAAACTATGATTGCTAGAAGCTATTTATGTCCATTTATTATATATTCATGGTTCACATTTATATGAGAATATGATAGTGGTTACACTCCATGTTTCTTATGATGGAGTTGGGAAAAATAAAGGAATTAAGACCCGAAGATCTTGATCCTCAATTATAAAGGGCTTGAAGACTCTAAATTTTATACAATTAAAGGAAAAAGCCTGAAGATCCTAAATTCCTATACATCTAAAAGGGTATGAAGATCTCAATTCATGTATAATAAAATATAAGGTTGAAAAATCTACACCTTTGTATAAATATATGTGACCTTGAAGTTCACATCTTAATGAGCTAAATTTGGAGTTTAACATTGAGCAAGTGTAATAATTATAGAACCAGAAGTTCTAAATGATTTTAGTGGAGCGTACTATCATATTACAGTTTTGAGGGTTATGAGTTCCTCAATTCATTTTCAATTAATTAGGACTACAATATCCTAAATTCTCAACCCTTGTAATATACTTGTATGTGGACATGAAGTTCCTCATTTTTCCCAAAAGCATAGAAGACCAGAAGTTCTTCAATCTCTCTTATTGAAACTAGAAGTTTCAACTATTTATTTTGTTACACCAACTTAATTATTGTCTTACTTTTGTTATTGTATTTTATTTTTGTCATTTCAAAATTTTATATACGGGCCTAATGTCCTAAAAATGACTTGTAGTTCAAACATCTCAATTATAATAGTTAATTATGTGTAACCAGAAGTTTTTGGGACATATGTATTAAAGTATATCAATTCAAACTTTAAGGATGAATTTGCATGTTTATTGTATATATATATGTGTGTGTGTGTGTGTGTGTGTGTGTGTATTTTGTTATTTGTTAGAAATTCAAAATTTTCATTAAGGAGCAAAGTGAGAGACTTAAGAATTTTTATTCTTATATAACCAATGGAGGACTAGAATTTCCTCAGTTCTTATTTAATCATATAAGGGTCAGAAGATCCTTAGATTTCAATGCTTATAATATAAATATTAATGGATGACTAGAAGTTCCTCAATTCTTATTCAATCATGTAAGGGCCAGAAGATCCTTAGATTTCAATCCTTATAACATAAATATTTGTGGACTTGAAGTTCCTCAGTTCTTAAAAGACAAATGAAAACTTGAAGCTCTTTGATTTTTTTTTTCATTGGAGCCAGAAGTTTCAACAATTTATTTTATTGTAATATTTTATTTTATTTTTGTTGTATTTCACTTTACTTGGTTCTTTTCTTTGGTTTCATTTTTTTTATTGCTTGAAGACCCTAAATTTTATACAATTAAAGGAAAAAGCCTAAAGATCCTAAATTCCTATACATCTAAAAGGGTATGAAGATCTCAGTTCATATATAATAAAATATAAGGTTGAAAAATCTACACTATCATATTACAGTTTTGAGGGTTATGAGTTCCTCAATTCATTTTCAATTAATTAGGACTACAATATCCTAAATTCTCAACCCTTGTAATATACTTGTATGTGGACATGAAGTTCCTCATTTTTCCCAAAAGCATAGAAGACCAGAAGTTCTTCAATCTCTCTTATTGAAACTAGAAGTTTCAACTATTTATTTTGTTACACCAACTTAATTATTGTCTTACTTTTGTTGTTGTACTTTATTTTTGTCATTTCAAAATTTTATATAAGGGCCTAATGTCCTAAAAATGACTTGTAGTTCAAACATCTCAATTATAATAGTTAATTATGTGTAATCCAAGACCAGAAGTTTTTGGGACATATGTATTAAAGTATATCAATTCAAACTTTAAGGATGAATTTGCATGTTTATTGTATATATATATGTGTGTGTGTGTGTGTGTGTGTGTGTGTATTTTGTTATTTGTTAGAAATTCAAAATTTTCATTAAGGA